ATCTCTATATTACAGTTTCACTACAAGGCTAAAGCATGTTACAGTCGTATAGCAAGTTAATACATAATATTAATGAATACATTTGACAGAACATGCTCCACTTTCGAGGCAAAAATTGTTAATTTTTGTCCCAAAAAATACAATTAATGAATAATCCACATCCAGAATCATACAAGCTAAAATATTACTACTGAAGGCAACATTTAAATATGCAAATAAGGTTTATTACTGATAGTCTCTCTTAAAGACAACAAATGTATAGTCATGTCGGTCTCAGACAGTAAAAGAAACAAAAAAACTCCTGCATGCTTTTATTAATAGCGGGTTAAACATATTTGCTTTATACCAGATAATTTCACAGGATACTCTTTGGAATATTTATTCCTGTTGGGTTTTACATCCAATATAATAGTTGTAGCAAAGTATTTTTTTTTATCTAAACATGTTCAATTATGTTCTCCCACCATTCCTACAATACAAGTACAACAACCAATCTTTTTCTATAATAATTACCTAAGGATACATTAAACTTTATTTAGGTCAAACATATTAACAATGCAGGCAATTACAGGTGGTTGTTAGAAGATGCCAGGAGCTGGTGGAGGACGTTGTGGGTTGAAGCAGGAAGAACCAGCTGGAACTGAATGTCCCGAAAACTAAAGAAATGGTTCTGTACTTTAGAAGGAAGCCTCAAACACCTCAGCTGGTGCAAATAGAGGGGGGCAGTGTGGAGATAGGGGTATCCTACAAGTACCTGGGAGTAGCATTGCAACATAGGTTGTACTGAGCCACCAGCATAGATCATCTCTACAGAAAAACCCCATCCAGACTGTACTTTCTTCAAACTGTGGTCTCTTTTAACATGTGTTCTAAACTGCTGTGTCCCGAGTGCCCTCGTTTATGCTATGGACTGCTGGTGCAGCACTAGTCTGAAGAACATATGTGGAATACACAGGATTATCAGAAATCTATCTATCTATCTATCTATCTATCTATCTATCTAT